AAAAAAAAAAAAAAAAAAAAAAAAAAAAAAAAAAAAAAAAAAAAAAAAAAATCCAAAGGAACCGTAGGTGCGGTGAATAAGCCAGCCCAGTCAGCTAAAACAAGTCCTTCGAACCACCACCACGTATCTTCCGCTATAAACACAATTCTGTGTGGTGAAAGAAAACACCTTCGCACTACAAACCACGTTTGCGCTGTGTACGTGTATGCTGTGTAGAAATTGTGCCACCAGATGGGTGTGTGCGTCGGCTTATTTGTTCCATTTCGCTTCGTTTCGCTTAGCTTCTCCCCGTACCATATTATTTATTTATTTTTTTTTTGTGCAACTTTTTTTCGCGCCAAGCGTGGCGAAACGTGGCATGTTAATACCCGAGCGGTTGATCGAACGGTTAAAACAGGAGGGAAAGGTCCGTACCCACGCTCAGCGGAAGATGAACAAAGAAGAAGGGTAAAAAAGGAGAAAACAAAAAAGGTGCATGCACTCAGCAGGCCCAGACAGAAGTGGAATTGTCCAAGGAGCACGCCAAAGGGGGAAGCATTTAGGAAGGCACCTGACCGCCCAGCCGAGACGGGGGAAAATACACACGTGCGTGTGACGCCGTTGTGACGCAGTTGTGAAGCCGTTGTATAACACCGTTGTATAACACCGTTGTGACGCACTGCCCCGACATCCCTCAGAAATGAAAAAGGACGAGCACTCACAGACCTGGTCAAAATGTAAAGTCATTCTGGGCGGGTTCTTAATACACTGCACGCTGGGCAGCATCTACTGCTTCTCCAACATTAGCATTTACGTCATCTCGTACATGAAAATCATAGGTTGCTCCAATGTAAAGTACAAGGATAGTAGCTGGGTATATGTGCTTACTTTAATTTTTCAGTGCTTTTTTGGTTTCTTCGGGGGAATGCTGAATCAGCATTTGGGCCCCCAGATTAGCGTGTTGCTTGGGGGGTGGCTCATGTGCCTGGGGATCCTGTTGTCCTATTTCACCGTGTTCAATTTTTACCTATTTTTGATGACCTATGGGATTTTGTGCGGCATTGGATGCGGCATTGCCTACCCCATTCCGCTCTCCGTGGCGGTCAAGAGGCACTACGACTATAAGGGAGTGGTAAGTCACAGCAGCGTGGCGGCGACGTGAACGCGACGCACTGCGCGTGACTGAACGAATGGCACCGCCCAGATGGATATTCCCACCAGTTTGCTATCATCGCACGACCTGCACACGGCCCCGCTGCTTACCCCATACATCCCACCCTTACCCCGCGTTCACAGATCAGTGGAATAATTTTTGTGGGCCGAGGCATGGCAGTTTTCCTGATATGCCCCCTTCAGAATTATTTTATAAACAGGTACAACTACATGCCGGATTACACGCCCGAGTTGGACCCAACAGAAGACAAGTACTTTAGCAACCTGGAGATCCTTAACAGGGTTCCCTATTTGTTCATTTATGAAGGGATCTTTTTTGCAGTCATTCAATTTATAGGAGCATATTTGATAGCAGATTCTACAGAAGCATCAAACGAATTTTTAGCTTTCAATGATAAGAACAGCAAGGTTTTATATCTGGACCATGGGGGGTATGCAAATAAAAGTCCTAAAGGAATGTCCAGCTCATTTAGGACCTTATCTAACACTTCTAATTTTTCCCTCAGAGAAGCCAACAGTAGTACCTTCATCAATAGGGATTTCATTTTAATATGGTTGATGGTATTTTTTAACTGGCAAGCTATTTCGTATACTCAGGTCTTTTGGAAAATATTTGGTTTAAATTATCTTAACATTGATGATAGATCCTTGTCTTTCCTCGGAGCTGTTTCTTCTCTCTTCAATATAATGGGCAGAATTTTTTGGGGCTTCATTAGTGACTTGACGAGCTTTAAAACGGCGCTCATACTGATGAGTATGTTAATGAGTTTCCTAACTGTTACCTTAACGCTTTCTGGTTTATGTGGAAAAATTACCTACTGTATTTGGGTTTGCCTCATTTTCTTTTGTCATGCTGGTACATTTTCTATTTTCCCTTCTATCACTGCACATACCTTTGGCACCCGGAACTTCGGACCCATCTTTGGACTCCTCTTCACTGCTAGAGCTTTTTCGAGTATCATCAACGCCATGTTAGCGGCAGTCATTTTGAACAACGTGGGAAATATTGCTATGTGTGCACTCGTCTCCATTTCATCCTTCATCAGCATTATGTTGGCGCTGGCTTTTTAGCCGCAAAAAAAAAACACATAACAGAGCAGAGCAGCAATCCGGGGGGACATATAACCGCCGACGCCGCCCCCATTTTCACATCACATCACACCCCACTTGAAGACGTACGTTAAATGTAGTTTTTCCTTTTTTTTTTTTTTGTAAGTAAACATTTGGAGAGTTATTTTAGAACAGTAGGGAGGGGCATGGTTGACCCCATCTCGAAGGGAAGTACAGGAATGTCGGCGGGAAGATGTGACGATACGATTTCTCTCCCTCCCCATGTGAAGACCCAAGAATTGAAAAAGATGGAACAGCCAAACGGTTGTTATAGCCACACATACGTATGCTCCTTTTACATGCTCATTTTTTTTTTTCCCCATTTCCCCCCCGCAATGTTGTAGTGATACACAAGTTGCAGCTCACCGTGAGCGGTTCGTGGTGGTGGTGCCCTAAGGCAGCAGCCCTCCCCCCCTCCGCTGTACGAACAAACATGTGTCTAATGTGTATGTGTACTGCATATAGAAGGCTTTTCTCACTCCCGCGTTCTTGTCTTAGCGGTATGTGGGTAGCGAGGACAGAATGTATGCATGTATGTTTGGCCAAGTCTAGAGGTGAACACGTCCACACGTGTGAATACCCATGTGAGGTTAACACGTTGTCCACGTATAACGAGCATCCTCTGTGTGATTTCCTTTTTTTTTTTTTTTTTTTTTTTTTTTTTAAATTTTCCATTTTTTTGTTCTTACGCATGCATAATGTTGGGACAATTTCCCCGACACTTCTCCTTTCCCTTTGCAACTGCACCCCTAACGGTTTTCTCCCCCATGTGCGTCTGCCCAACCGCGTGGGGGTCAATTTCGATCCACCCCCTCTTAGCGATCTCTCCACAAAGATCCACTTTTCCTTGTTCTCAAAAAAAAAAAAAAAAAAAAAAAAAAAATTTACCCTTTTTGAATTGTGAAAAAACTTGAATTCTCTCACATGTAAGCAGATTGTTCATATTTTCCTTTCCACTTAACATTTTTTTTTTTGCGTAGAGAAGCGCTTTTTTCTTGGTATGCGTATAGTTTTCCTCCCCTCGGGGTAGGCGGCCCCCCTACTGGTGGGTTTTTGAGCGGTGCACGCCAAGGGCTGTGGGGTGGGAAAAGTGTCCCAAAAGTGGTCCCCCAAAATGAATATAAGATTTATCTCCGCTGTAGCTAAGTCCCTTTTTACATAACGCGTATACGTCAAGTAGGACACTCACATGGAGTAGTCTATTTTTTTTTTTTTTTTTTGTGTGTACCTCAAAGTGTAATATTTGCGATATTTTCCACATAAAGAATGCCATGCGCGTATAACCACCAGTGTAAGCCCACACGTGTAAAGGCTCTCCTTTCACAATTGGGGCTAAACAGGATGGATGCTTTTATCCCCCCGTTCTGAAATACCTCAAGAGAAAAAGCTTTGGATAAAAAAAAAAAAAAAAAAAAAAATCCTCCCAATTGGCACCACCTTTTTTTTTTGTGCATTGCGCAGTGTGCAAAGTTGAGCATGCGAGTCATTCATCCCCAGAAGGGAAAATAAAAAAAAAAAGGAAAAAAAAAATAAATAAGAAAAGGAAAGAAAGGAATGAAAAGAAAGAAACAAAACGAAGAGAATAAAAGGTGCAGAGAAACGAAGGAGATAAAGGAAATGAAAAAGACATAAGTAAAAAAGCCGTAGAAAAGTCATCTAACAAAATTTGCTCCTGTTGGGTATTTCTCCCGTGGGAGAGTTTAAGTGAAGCAAGAAGGAGAAACGAGCTTTCCAAAGAGGGGAACACACCCATGCATATGACTGTACCGTCGTATATATATAAATGCTAAGTGGTCTCCCTTCCGCAAGACCCCTTTTAAAAGCACATTTTGTTTCCACCTCTGTGGGTTCACAAGTTCTGTCGCCCCATATATTATTTTACTTTTTTTTCCTCCCCCCCCTTTTGTTACTCTTCAAAATTATTTTGTGGAGATTAAACCTTACCACAGAGGAGCGGTGGGGAAAAGCTTGGGAGGACAAGATAAAAAAAAAAAAAAAAAAAAAAAAAAAAAGCCGAGTGTGGAGGG